GTCAAAATAGTGATATCATAGTACCATCCCCTTGGGGAGGGATCTTCTCTTTTACCTCTTACGGTTTTCTGTTGCGTTCCCTTGGGATAAGAGGAAGATTTCCTCCCAAACCGGACAGTGAATGGTTTGGACACAGAGGCTAGGTTGTTACATGTGTAATCCCATTTGAAAGATTTTTTTTGGCTACTTTCATCTAGTGCTTATTGGCAAGTTCATCGTTACGAAGTTGGAACTTTAGTTAATTTTCAAGTAAAAAGTAGAAAGTTTGATATTAAATTGTCCTGAATGCAGAGGGAAGACCGGACAGGACAGGGTTAAGATTGTCCAACGAGCTGGCCAAGCTTGATGTTCCTGTGAAGCTCTTGATAGACTCTGCTGTGGCATATAGCATGGATGAAGTCGACATGGTGTTTGTCGGAGCAGATGGAGTGGTTGAAAGTGGAGGTATCATAAATATGATGGGGACTTACCAAATTGCATTGGTTGCTAAGAGCCTGAATAAGCCTGTTTATGTTGCTGCTGAAAGCTACAATGTATTTGGAAAACGATGTCTTTATTTTGTAATAGAACGAGTCATCTAGATCGAAAAGCCTGGCAAATGACTATCATTGTTGCCATTGCTCTATTGTCTTCATCATTTTTGAGCTGAAAACTCTATTACAGATTTAAACAGCTCTTGATTTAGTTTTTGGTAGCAGTTTATAATTTGATGCTTCTTGTTGCAGTTTGCTCGTCTCTATCCATTGGATCAAAAAGACATGGTTCCTGCCTTACGTCCGATTGATTTTGGGGTACCGATTCCATCCAAGGTTGAGGTGGAGACATCTGCCCGGGATTATACACCTCCTGAGTATCTTACCTTCCTTTTTACGGATTTGGGTGTTCTCTCACCGTCTGTAGTAAGCGATGAGCTCATCCAGCTATACTTGTGACATATCTCATTGGCAATGCAATGACATGAAATCTTGATTTGCGCAGACATGGATTGCTTTGCAATTCAGATGTAAACGGCCTACCCTTTTTTTTTTTTTTTTTTTTTAAAAAAAAAAAAATCCTGTATATGGCACGAGAGTGTACATGCAGAAGTTGTGTTCATATTGCAGTTGTTTTCCCTATTTTTTCTCTATTTTCTCCTCAGAGGCATTTCCCTCCTATTCTTAGATTCTTTAAAATTTTCAGATTTGCACTTATTTTCTCCCCAACTTCATCCTATTCGTGGTCCTGGATGGATTACCCAAGTTTGGGTCCGTGAGCATCGACAATTTCTCAACCAATGAAATCTTAAATTGAGATATGTCTCGACTGATGGTAAAATGATTATTGTTTAGCCTACACGATAACCTCAGATGAATTTTGGTTTTAGGGACTATAGGTGCGAAAATTGAAAGATGGTGAATGCAAAATTTGAGAAATAAAGATAGGAAACAACAGCCTGTAATTTTGCCAACTCTTACTGCTAAGCCACCGACAACTGAGCTGGCAAAATTTTAGAATGAAATTTTATTTATTTATTTATTTAATTTTTTTTACGTCTTCTTTGACAATTGGTTTGAAGAACGTAAATTCAAATTAAGGGTTGCCCTCCGGGGCATGGTGCAGTGGTGTAAAGAACAGGAGTGAGGTTATTTCATACCTTGCTGGCAGCCGCAGTGTGGGGGGTTCAATTTCTGAGATATGGAATTAGACTCCTTGTAAACGCAGTATAAATGCAACTCTTATTCTCTGGCCTGTTAGAGCACATCCCGCGATTTACATTCCTCACAAAGTTCTAGGGGCGAGGCGATAAGAACCCTCAAAGTTGAGGTTCAATTAATTTTTATTTTATTTTATTTTATTTTTTATTTTTTATTTTTTTCAAGGGTTGAGGTGGATGTCACCTCATCATATGTCAAAGTTTTTGGTAAAACATTTAATCCTATTAGAATTGTATGAATGGTACTTTTCACATTTGAAAAGAAAAATATTTTCTTGTTGTTTGACTAGTTGCTTGACAATCAAATATTATTATTCTAGGGATTGGGAAAAGATTCATGTAGCAATAATTGAAGAAGAGAAGTGGAGCCTTTTTCCCCTAATCTCCACCCTTTCTCCCTTCTAGAGTTATTTTTATTTAATCAGAGATGGGAGGGAAGAAGCAAATGATTACATCAAGTTTGAACGTGTAAAGAGATGGGGTTTGTTGTTCTTTTTTGTGGTACATAACATGATTGATTACACAAGAATAAGAAGGAAATTATTAAATTTCTTTAAAAAAATAAAAAATGCTCATAAGTGTGGACCAATTAGCACAATCATGACTGATTCTTGCTGTTATGTTAATCACTTGCTTATATACATTGAGCCGAGTGTGATTTTGAAATTTTTCTCATGTCGTTTTTGGATTTTCTTTAAAATAGAAAAATATTAGTACTTGGAAAATGATAATGAGAGTATGGGCCATTAATACTGCAACATAATTATGAACCAGCTGTCTCGGCCAGATCAATCCAGGGTCCCCCTCCCCCCCGGGCCCCCTCCGTTCTCAACTTGATTGATTTTCACTTTTTAACTCCCGTTTGATTTTCATTTTAACTAAAATATATATATTTTTCTTTTTTTTAATAACATTTTTTATTAAAATAATATTACATTTAAATAATTTTTTCTTATTTTTCATCAATACATTCTCAATCAATTTATTATTTTAAAATTCATTTTTTCATAAAAATAGGTGTCAAGTACTTTCTAATTGCGTTCATATATTAAAATTGTGAGAAATAGTTTTCAAATTAATAAAATAAGGAGTAATATTATTTGTAATCGTTTTATTTGACATAGATGTAGTGGTTAATGATTTGATGTATAAAATAATAAAAAATTACTACATTAATGTATCAATCACTAATCGTTATATATATGTCACGTAGAACAACTGTGGAAGTAAACGACTGCAAATAACATTATTTTAAAATAAATAGTACGTTCGCAGATACAATGTGTATTAAATTGCTGTCTTAATTAGGTATTTTAAATGGAAAGTTGCTATTTTTTTTTATTTTTTTTTTATATTAGATCAAGTTTCGATCTTCCAAGTTGTTCCTCTACTAAGGATGGATCGATGAATAAACAAGCTTTTCTCAATTATTGTTTTGGACTAATTAGTGAATTCTAAGAACAAGCCCATCCAACTTGATATTTCTAGTCAAGAATGTCTAAAAATGTGAAGGTGATCGATCTAAGCAGTTTCCATAATTTAGCTCCCGTTTGGCCCCAATTAATTTTCATTTAATTACATTTTATTTTTTATCTTATTTTTAATCACACAATTTTTTATAAAATAATATTACATATAAATCGAATTTTTTTTATTTTTTTAATTACTCATTTTTAAAAAAGGTACTATCCCACCAAATTTTATGATGTACAAGAATTCGTAATTTATTAGAAATAGAAAAATAATTATAGTATTGAAGGGCCCGTGTGAGTGACATTGACACAGAAGAAACGTGTCGGTCATATATTAATCAGCACAACGTTCTATGCATGCATGTAATAATTTCAATGTATATAATTAAGGTAAATTTTGGAATAATGCTATGGTGCCTCATTAGGGTTGCCCGGTGTAGATGGAATTAATGTGACATTAATTGATAAGTTACTCAATTAATTTCACATTACATTTAATCAATGATCTAATACCATCTAAATTTGGGTTACAACTCTAGTAAAACTAAATAACATCACTCTAATTTTTCTAGTATTCGGAGTTTTCTAACTTGGTCCTCAACCTTTTAGCCCCCGTTTGGTCCCCATTTTATGAAATGAAAATTGGCGGAATAGTATTTTTTTTGAAAATTGAGTGATAGAAAAAGAAGAATTTTTTTTTTCAATATACGTGTAATATCATTTTATGTAAAACTATGTGGTTGGAAATAGGAGAACAAAAAATGAAATGAAATTTAATTAGGCCAAACAGGGCTTAGTTTCTAACTTGGTCCTCAACATTTAATGTTTTCAAACTAAGCCCTCATTAGATGGAAAGCTATTTGACATTCAAAACTCATTTTTCTTTGACTTATTTTCAATCATACGTTCACACAATAAAATATTTTTCACATAAATTTAATTTTTTTTTTAATTTTTAACCACACGTCTCCAAAAATTCATTTTTTCAAGATTCATTTGTCCCATAAAAAAAAAGAAAAAAAAACTTTATTTTACTGAATGTCAATCAGAGGCCAAGTAACTTCTAAGGTGGTTTCAGTCCTTTTCTTAATTGATTAATAGTAAAAAACAGCATGCATTTTGCACAGCACCGTGTACAGCCTTCTCACAGTTCGGGAGGCCCACACGCAATAAAAAATTTGTGGGCCCACCCACTTGTGAGAGGGCTGTAACCGAACTGTACAGCTCGGACTGTACAAACAGCATTTCCGTTGCGTAATATTACAATGAAAATTTATTTCATTTATTTCTATTTTTTTATCAATCACACTTTCTACAATAAAATAATATTACACATAAATTGAAAACTTTTTCTTCTTTATTAACAAAGCATTTTTTAAGAAAATACTATTCCAAAAATTAAAATGGCAAATAATGAGAGCCAAATGGTAGCTTTATCTTACTAAGCAGAATTATATTTTTCTCCTTGTCACAATCTGAGATTAAAAAAAAGTGAAAATTTCGAACAACACGTGACTCTGAATCCTGTATCCACTGGTGCACTAGTATCCAAAATCCAACCAACTCTGTTTATATTTTCTTCAATTTATGGCACTGCATACTGCTATCATCCAATTATCCCAACCCTACTCTCGTCCTAATATTCAAACAATTAACTTGAAAATATAGATCATATTCTGTACTTAAAATAATTTAAAGTTTATATTCTATTTAAATATATAGTGTGGAGCTTGAAAGAAAATAACATTCTTTGAGTGGAAGTTTATTTTTGCTCGTAAATTGTCAATTCAATTGACTTTTCTTTTTAATTACAGGAAAAAAGTTGAAAAGAGAAGTTGAAAAATCATAATTAAAGCAAGAAAACTCCATTTTTCGTAATTTCAATAGGAAATTCGAAACTGTTGTTTTCGACTCTAAATAACTCCTTTCTTAATCCATTCATCGATTGACATCCATTCATTCACCAAAAACACTTCACTCTCTACTCAAACACTGCAAATCTCCAATGTCAAAATCTTCACTCTTCTTCTGTACATTACTGTTAATAGTAATTGTATTTGCTTTAGCAGATGCTGAATTACTGAGAAAAACATTTATAATTCGCGTTGAACGCGATGCAAAGCCGTCCATTTTCCCTACCCATAAGCACTGGTATGAATCAACTCTTAGATCCCTCTCCCCTACTGCAATTCACGACAACTCCTCGGATTCTGCTGATGTAAGCACCGTAATTCATACTTACGATACTGTTTTCCATGGGTTTTCTGCTAAGCTCTCTACTTCGGAAGCTCAAAGGCTGGAAACTCTATCTGGGATAGTAGCTCTCATTCCTGAGCAAGTGAGGCACTTGCATACCACGCGCTCCCCGGAATTTCTTGGATTAAAGACCAGTGACAGTGCTGGCCTGTTGAAGGACTCGGATTTTGGGTCGGATCTTGTNCAGCCCGCTCCGCTTGTGGCCTCGTTCTCGGCTAGAGGGCCTAATCCTGAGACACCGGAGATTTTAAAACCGGATGTTATTGCTCCAGGATTGAATATACTAGCAGGCTGGCCGGATGGTGTTGGACCTAGTGGAATTCCATCAGATAAGCGAAGAACGGAGTTCAATATATTGTCGGGGACATCAATGGCCTGCCCTCATGTTTCTGGGCTTGCTGCATTGTTGAAGGCTGCTCATCCTGAATGGAGCCCCGCGGCAATTAGGTCTGCTTTGATGACAACAGCTTACACAGTAGATAATCGTGGTGAAACAATGTTGGATGAATCGACGGGGAATTCATCGACCGTGATGGATTATGGAGCAGGTCATGTGCATCCTCAAAAGGCTATGGATCCAGGATTGATTTACGATTTGAGTTCTTATGATTATGTGGATTTTCTTTGTAACTCGAATTATACGACCAAGAATGTACAACTTGTCACTCGGAAGTATAAGGATTGCAGCGGAGCGAAAAGGGCTGGCCACATCGGGAATCTGAATTACCCTTCACTCTCAGCTGTATTCCAACAATATGGAAAGAAGAATAAGACGTCGACTCATTTCATTAGGACAGTCACTAACGTTGGAGAATCAAATTCTGTGTATGAAGTGACAATTAATCCACCCAAGGGAGTGGTGGTGACTGTGCAGCCGGAGAGGCTTGCATTTAGGAGGGTGGGGCAAAAACTGAACTTTCTAGTGAGGGTACAAGTCCGGAAAGAGAAACTCTCCGCTGGGAATTCAGTACTGAAGAGTGGCTCTATAGTATGGTCAGATGGGAAGCATGACGTTATAAGTCCAGTAGTCGTGACAATCCAGCAGCCCCTGTAGGGTGAGGGAGCAACTTTTCCGGAGTGGAGACTTGGCCGAGTAATATCTTGATACTTGGTAATGCCCGTGTTTAATCAACTTATCTTATATATTAAGGAGTGTGAATGCTTGGCACTTTCTTCTACTTGAGGGTTGATAAGTGAAGGATAATGTGGTGTTGGTGTAAGCAGACTCGTGTCTATAAAATGTTCTCTAATCTTTGAAGTTTTTACAATCATAATTGCTTTATCTTAATTTGAATTACGTCTTTCACGTGCGCACACTACTAGTTAAAAAGTGTAATTTCCATTATAACTTTACTCTCTGCTTTCCTTTTATCCCAGTAATTATCCATAAATAGTAGCACGTACAAAGTGTGTTTACAAATTTAGTTGACAAAATAAGTGTTAAAATTCAGGACATTGATTTTCAATTATTTAAAATTTGTTTTTGAAATCATTGGTTTGTCAACCAACTTTGTACATGTAACATAACTCACTTCAAGTTTTTGCATGACTTTTTATAATTTCCTGCCATTTTATTATGTGAGTGATATATGATACTTTTTAATGATAGAATAGTACCTTTGATGATATCAATGAATTTGTTTAACAAAATATTAAATATATTCACAAGGTGATTGCTAGGGATGGTAATGGGTCAAACTGAGTTGACTCGGCCCTTTAACCCACGAACTCGACTCAGGCTCGTGGTAAGTCGAGTCGAGCCGAGCTGAGGTTGAGTTTGTGGGTCGGGCCTAGCCGAGTCGAGCCCATGAGCAATTCGTGAGCTCGTGATTTTTTAAATTTTTTAATAAATTTTCACATTTTTTACTTTTTTTTTTAATAAATTTGCATTTTTTTTTACGAGCTCGTGGGATTGAGCCCCCTACAAATGACGAGCACGAGCTGGCTCAACCGCTCGGCTTGTTTGACATCCCTAGTGATTGCGGATGGTAGTGAATCACAATAGAAGGCCCAAACAACAACGTATATGAGTAAGATAGGTCATTTCACTAAGGGTGTGTTTGATAGGGTAGAAATGGAATTGGAATTGGATTTTCCAACTTTAGGTGTTTGATACATTTTTTTTGCCATGGAATTCGAATTCTTGGTTGTCTTTGTTGGAGAATTACATCGGTAATTGTGCATAATATATTCATAAAAACATACCGTTAATTTGCGTGAAATATAATTTCGATTTCTCGAGATAGGATTTGAGAAGACAAAATAAGAATTTATCGAATCCGAACACCTGAATATGGATTCTTCCCTTTCAACTCATGATCGAAAGCAAGTAATTCTTTGGATCAAACCTTGCATGATAAACATATAAATAATGTTAATCATTTTTGAAATCAAATCATAATAAAAAGAATCAGAAAATGAAAAAAGAATATGCAAATGATGGATTTTTGGCCGAGGCAAGTGTTGGACACCTTGTCCTTAAGATGAATTTGCCCCGCATCGGTGTTAACGGTTCTCCGGCAATCATCTATTAAGATACAACAACCACGTCGAGCTATAGGAGCACTCCAAATGACTTAGATCAACGAACTCTAACGGAATTCTCTCTCTATCATGACCATGACTTTGATACAAATATTTTATGCAAAATCAAAGTGTAAATTTGAATGGAATGATATGGTATCTATGACTTTTCTTGAATGATAAAATTCAAACATATGTGGTCTATATATAGTAGTTGGAAAGGTATGTCAAAAGACACAATTATACCAAGAGTCACATCTCTTGAAATTTATTTCTATACATTAAGAGACACAATTATTGGAAGTTAATCATATCCATACCAAGAGTCGTGATCTTTCATATGAAAAGACACAACTTTTTATCCACATATTTCTAGAATATTTCACAATATTCTATACGATTTTTCAACAATTTCAAGTATTAAGCGGCTTATATTTGGTTTAATTTCTCATTCACCAGATAATGAATTCCACTTAAATAATCATATAAAATTGGTCACAACCAATTTTCGATACAAAATTTCAACAATCTCCCACATGAATGAAAATTAATGCAAATGTCTATGCAGACACTGGTAGAGAGAGCGGGAAAACACTACATCAGGTAAGGTAGCTTCTAGTTTTGAACATTCCTTAGTGAAATACCATTAGATTTACTAGCTAATTGGTGAACACGATGTTCTTGAACCATCAGTCGTTGGTGTAAACCAAGACAACAGTATTCACACAATGTCTCCCATAAACCGTTCATGGTTCTCACGACTTGATTCATTTTGACCTTGAACCCATCTTGGTTCTGTAAGTATTTAGAGAATTCAAACTTTGAATAATTCTCATTAAAGCGGCCCCACTTCACACTTACATAGGTGATCTCCTATTAAAAGTATTCTGTCTTACTCCACTTGACTTAATCAAGATATATGAATCATTAAAAGTTTATCTTAACCTCCAACCACTCTGCAGAAAGCACTTTGTAATCATAGGAATGAGTTAGAACATTAGTTTTCTAAGTGTTTCACGGAATCCTCATAAATTAGTTGTCCTTTTGAACCAAAATCTTGGGATCCCCAGTCAACATGATGAGATTACCATCATAAGGACTCTTACATGGTAGGCTTAATCTCATTCCTTTTGATATGCAATATACTATCTTTCGGTAAACATATATAAATGGATCCACAAGTTTACACCAATGAGATCAACAGCTTATGGTATTCTGTCTACGACCTACATGTCTATACTTACCATTATATGTGACCTAGTACCTTTTCAAATTTAGCTAGCTAACGATCGATTCATTTGATAGATACACATTGTCACCAACTAAGAAATCCTCTCATGAAGCTACATGCTTCTCATTAGCTTTATCTAAAACTTTATCAATTCCAAACAATAATGTTGGAGGATTTCTAACAAATCGTTACACTAGTCAATCATATTTACTAGTGGATTTCATACATGGGTATTCAATATCATCATTAAAGCATTGCAATACATTTGGACTTTATGAATATTCTCAAATATTCCAATTGTTCTTGTATATCCAAACAACCGTCATGATCGGCTTTCATCCCATTTTATCCATTTTAGGGCTTTCATTCCATTTTATCTACTTTAGACTTAGTGTTTATTATCGCATCACAATATCCTTTCAATATCGCAGGATATCTTGTGAAATGTAATCCATAGGTCATGGTATATTTCAAATACCTAAGGACCCTTGTCAAAGCCACCTAAGGATGTCAATTGGGTCGAGCTGGCTTGGCTCGTGAAAAAGGGGCTCGTGGGCGGCATTTCACGAGCCCGAGCACGAGCCGAGCGGGCCTCACCCGTAGGCTCGGCT